AGCACTGCTCAGCAATAACCAAAACATCCCTGTGTTATCAATGTTGTTTTCAGCACAAACCCAAAACACAGCCCCATACTAGCTACTGTGAAGAAAATTAACTCTGTCCCAGCCAAAACTGTCACAAAGAGCCAGACTCAAGCCTTCAGTAGGCTCAGCAAAGCTCTGCTTGCATTATTTGCATTATTTGAAGTGTGGGCCTTTGTGGATGACTGGGACGTATATTATTTCTTTAATAACAGAGAAATAATTTAAATTATTCCTGATTCTCTTTTCACTTGGTCGGCCCACTTTAATTTTCCCAGGCTATTTCCCTGCCATTCTGACATGATGTCAGAGACCCATGAATTACGGTGGCTTCAGTGAGGAATCAGACTGACATTGGTAAGAAATACAGACCCAATATCTTTTGAATTTATGTGTTTAAGTCCTCACATACATGCTTTGTAGCTCAGGCTGATAAACTTCAGAAACTTAATGTATGCTAAAATGAGGAAGTCTAAAAGAGATGAAAACCAGAATTATGTGTTGCAATTAACGGGCTCTTCAGATCAAACGTGAGGTGTTAAGAGGCAAGTTTAGTTATAGGTTTGAACAGCCTATAGGATGTGGTAAGGCATTTTATATTTTTGGAAGGAAATGGGGATAACAGTATATCTGGTTTCTGAGGGAGTTTGAGATTTTCCAGGAGTGGAATTGCATAAGTGCAATTAAAGCTGAGAGATGGACAGCTATACTGGACACCACAGTAAATGCTATTTTGAGGCGCCAGCCAATGTCATAGAGTTTATAAGCATCATTTGTCAGAAATAATAATAAGGAAATGTTTTACATCTAAATTGGTATGGGAAACTCCCGGTGTTCTTCAGATTTCATCTCGTTCCAGTTTCTCAACCTGGATCTGATTCAATACCTTTGAAGTTCCTGTGTGTGGATTTCAAAGGAAATGAGCTGGGACTTAGGAGATCTAGAGCCAGTCTTCTGAAGCAGTGAGCTCCCACAAATCCACTTGAAATCAGGTTCTGCAGAGCCAGCCCCCGCCCCAGTCATCTGCTTCCCCTGCTCATGCTTTTAACGGGAGTTTAGGAGTCAAAATTTGGGGCCCTCTGCTTATTTCTGCCGTCATGTTGCTGCTTATTGATTTACTCAGACCAGGTCAGATCCCATCTCACTTATGTCAACAGCCCATGTTTAAAACTTCCTTTGCAGGTTAGACAAAACTGAGCTTGCAGTCTCCAGGCAAAAGCAGGCTAGAAGAAAGGACAAACCTGGAACACCGGTCGAAGGCAGAGCCCAGGGGAATGGAGCCTGGTGTTCCTGCTGCTGCCAGGGCATGGACTGACAACGATGCTTTTGCTCTCACTGCGTTAGCTGCTGCCTCCTGCCAGTCCCAGGTCCTCTCTTAGCAGCAGCAACAGCCAGGCTGCTTCTGGGCTTGGAATGGTGTAAAGCAAACAATAGGACCATGTCTAATTTTGCTAGGCGAAGCACTTGGCCTCCCTGGAAAATCCGTTGTTTTGTTTATGCTTGATCTGGTTCTCTTTAGACCCAAGAAATTGATGGAGTACAGAACTTGGCCTTTATTGCCCTAGTTACTCAGCCGTGGATCAGCATTTTCAGAGGTCTTGTGGCACAGCACTCCAGCTAAGACCAAGTTGTTTGTAAATATCTTGGGTCAAACACCAAAAGTCACTTGTTATGAATACTGAAAATCTGGTTTGGTCCAAAGCACGTATTTTTTTGTCTTTTTGGTTTCCTTGGTTATTTCTGTAATAGTCCTAGAAAATGCCTCACACATTTCTGTTTTTAACTTATATATAAGTGCACCTCAAAAGCTTTTTCAGGAAGGCAGAACAAGAGAGTCATTGCACTAGGGCTATGTTCATTAAAATAATATCTTTTTGAGAAGAAACCCAAGCACTGCCTAGAAAAGGAAACTGGGAGAAGAGTGCCAGCTTCTGCTTTTCTCTTACCTATTTTTTCCCTTTTTATGGAGTGCCTGTTTTGAAAAAATTTTTTTGCATCATTCTTTACAAACAGACTTCCAACTTTCACGTGCTTGCACCAGCGATGGCAAAGCAGCAGGTCGATGGAGGTCCGGGATTGCAAGGCGCCTGATTTGCGTGACGCGGAACCACCAGAGGTCAGACTTAACCTCCGATTCCTTTCTAATGCTGAGCGGTTTAATTCAGAGTGACTTCCATTATTGCAACAGACAGTGCCAACAGCTTACAGGACATTTACTGGATTCCTACTGCTCCTGGGAGACTGCATCCTTCCAGAGTATTTTCTAGTGCTTTGTATTATACACAAAGGCTTCTGGTTTTGCCTCATGCTTTTTCAGAGCTGGTGGGACTGTCACAACTGGTTTGAAGACTTTCCTGATAATCAGCCTGGAATTACACTTTCTTTTCATCCCATCACTCATATCATACTTTTTGTGACATCTCATGTATGAGCATAACAAAGAGTATATTTCTGAAGTGGAAGAATTTTGCTTGCACAAATTAACTTGGACAACTTACATGTGGCTTGTACAAGAAGTGGCCAATTTTCACAACACTAATGACCGGTTTTGAACAGGTGATTTTCAGGGTGAGCATGTGGAGAGGTCAGGTGTTTACTTCTGTAGAAACTCTGAATTCCTAGATGATGAAGTGAGTAATGCAACCTCCAGTAGTTCAAGAAATGAAAGCTTATAAATTCTGAGCCTCTCCGAACAGCCTCACTTCTCCCTCAGCTTTCTCCACTCTACTGTGCTGTGTGCTGGGAACAGTATTGGTGCTGCACAGAAGCAGGGACCATCCCACTTGCAGCCCACATCTAGCTGACCAGCCAATTTGTGCCTTGTACTGGGATAGGTAAGGTGGGACAGTGTAGGAAGTCTTACAGCTGTTGAATCCCTTTTAATTATTTGGACTTCTAGTTGCTTTGGTCCATTAGACACTACCATGTTTATATGGAAGGAGAAAGTTGCCACAACAGGAATCTGGCTGGTGGTGGTAGATAAAGCTGGCCAACGTACTGTGTGAGCTCAGCACTTCTGTCTTGTGGGAGCACCAATGTGATCTACCATAGCTGAAGGTGCTGAGCAGATTGAGGTGAGGGGGTGAAACCTGTGCAGGGTGGGTCAAAACCCATTTTTGGGAGAATGGGGCACAACAGATGTAGCACAGAAAATAAAACTCACACAATAGAAGTCAGAGGTTTGTCCATTGTTAGGGTTAAAGTTTGAGCAGCAGTGTTGCCTGTTGCTGTGATGCGGTCATAGGTGGGGGATTCTGAGTCCATAGACACAAGATGGATAGAGGAAAACTGGAAGCAGGACAGACTTTCTTCTGCCATATTAGGTCAGCATGCTTCATCCTTGAATACAAGGGATGCCTGAGTAGTAGCAGGGTAGTTCACTCACCCAGCCTGCTCACTCTTTAATTGCCCTGATTGTTTTGACTGTCAGTCACCAGTGCCATCGAGAGCCACTTGTAACTGTCCTGGATGAACTTAGCTCTGGCAGGAATTGAAATTAGTCTATAGGATCATATCACATAGGCTGAAAATTTATTTGATGACCTGCACTGGATATGAGCCAGTAATTTGGAGGTTATTCCTCCAATGTTACTTGATACTCCTTTTACCAATCATGGAGCTTGGGCATGGTAATCTAATTTTAAAGTAGTAGTGAGGACCATGCCAATGTACTGTTTGGCTCCTCTTGTGTCTTGGTGTCAGCCAGGAGGCAGCAGGGCTGGTAATGACTAAATCCTGACTTTATCAGTATCACGCTTGCAGAGAACCATAATATCAAACCTTTAAATGCTCCCTATACAAACTAGACCACAGAAACCAGCTGGAGTCCCAGCTACTCTTGTGTTGTCACCAGACCATTAGCCCTGTGACTTGTTACACACAATTCTGTCAAACTTTGTTCTCCAGCCTGCCATTATTCAGATACTAACTAAACAAACTCCCACTAGCTCCCTTGGGGATCATTACATCTCTCTGCATTTATGCTGTGGCAGCAAAAGTTTAAGCTTGGATTGTAATCATACAGAAATTAACTTGCTGATTAAAAATGGTCCTTTAAGCAACATGCATTTGAATAATCCATCATAAAAACAAATGAGTCTGTAACAGTGCTTTTGACTTGATAATCTTTTTTCTGCTTAAAATTTAAATCAGTTGCTTTTTTTTTCTCTCAGTTTGTAGCCTATAGAAAAATGCAATGAATTACTAAAAAGAAAGCAATATCTCAAACTGCAATAGCGGTGGTGTGGAATATATATTTTAGATCTGTCACTGCAAGATAGATTTGTATGTCATGGACCTAATTTTTGGCTGAGATACCCTCCAGGCATTTCCATTTATGTTAGTTGTGTTACACAAAAATTAAGTTAATGCAGAAAATTTGATTTCAGATATTTGCAAAGTGTTTTGAAGATAGAAGACCTGCACATGCCAGAGCTGATCTGGTTCTTGTTGAAATCTGTAGCAAAGGTCCTGTTTAATTCAATAAGAGCTGCTGGATCAGGTCTGAGTGCAGCAGAGCTGTGTTTACAAGTAAACATTTGAATGACAGTTCAGTCATTTTAAATATTGCATAACTCTCCCTACCTGTAGGTGCAAAGCGAACCATTAACAGTTCACAATAGGTGGCTACTTTTAGACAAAGTCACTCAATTTGTGGCTGCTAGCTGAACCGGTTGTGGGATGGATACAAGAATTAAGAGAAGATTTATGTGGCTGGAGAAAGATGCAAAAGGATACCTCTAATTTCTAAGAAAATATGTGACACTGTTCCTGAAACTAAAGAAAAGCACATTTAAATCTCCTTGCTTCATCACTTTTCCCCATCACAGTTCCATTTTTCTAGATATTTGTACAGTCTGCAATAATTCACTTCTTTCATTCCCAGCCCATGCCACAAGCCCTCCATGTCTCTATTTTTAAAAATCAGCATTTATCAGTACTGGTCTCAGCATTAGTAACCTGATATTCCTCACCTTTTGGTCCAGGTAAAATTGTGTGTGTCGAGCAGACATCTGTTGTAGGTCGATTGTCAACATCAAAACCAAAAATCTGAACTTGGAAGATAAAAAGCACTACTAGGGTTCCGTATTTCCTTAGCTGTTGTTCTTTCTTGCTGCTCATCCTTGCAGCTTCTCAGGAAATGCCTTTCGTTGTTACAGTCTTAACAAATGTAGCTGACTCAAAAATAAATGCTCCACTAACTGAAGCAGTGCAAAGATTGGGAGCTACATGCAAGAACAGCTAAATAAAATGAAGAAAGGAGCTCTATGATGCTGTAGTTATTTCTGTCCTGCACATTATCCAGGATATTTATTTAACACTGACAGCTGTTTATTCCAATTTATCTCTTATCTGTGAGAAGTTTAGCAGTGTTTGCCATGGAAAATTTCAGCAATATATGGGAATATCTCTTTTGTAATTTTTTTTTCTTTCGGCACTGACTCTTCATGCCCAGATTTTCACTTACTCAAGAGACAAAAAACGCTGTTACTGTATCCAAGTGCGTACTAATTAGTTATAGGATACTTGTGGCTGGTTTTGTTATGGAAGAGTAATGCAGACTCTATATAACATGTAGAGAGACTTTTTCACAAACACTTTTCTCCAAGGAGACTGTTAGTGACAATGGATGATCTGCCAGTCTGCTGTGGGTGGAAATCACTGGTAGGTTTTCACACCTTTTGAATTCCATGTACCCACAGTCCCCAGAGTAGCAAATGCAAAGTTGATGTTATCAATGGGTGTTTGAGCCAGGAACCCACAAATGATGGTTTTATGCTTACAGATTGCTCCACAATGGTTTCTCCAAGCCCAGATTATGTTGGTAGACACTGGACAGAATGACAGACTTCAAGATTGAAGCCACAGTGCAGGATGAGTTTGAATGACTGCAGTACTTCCTCCTGTACCATCTTTTCCTGTACTTAGAGAGGCCATTTATCAGAACAGTGGTGTAGCATAGGTCCCAGCAGAACAACATCTTTGGGTTGTCCAGGACGTTGCTGCTGGTTCAAATCCACATGAGGTGGCTGTAAGCTTTTCAGCTGGGTGCTGGGACTTTGAAACCAGGTGAAGGAGGCCTTATGGATGGAGGCACAGGTACCATGCAAAACCCCTATATATTTTCTTGGAAGGAGCTGTGACAGATATCCATGTGAGTGCAGAACCTTCCTAAAAAACCCTCTAGCTTTCTCTTACAGAGAGCACAGTAACCAGGGAGAGCAGACTATTCGAGGTAGCCTGGCAGAAAAGAAAGGGGAGATGAGTATTTGTAATCTTTCCAGGAATTTCGTTAACTTCTGCTTTCTCACACAAGAAGGAGACAGCTACTCGAAAAGCTCAACTATGCTTTGAAACTGCCTAGTGTGTGAGAGCATGTGTTTGCTTTCCATTCTAGACAAAAAATGTATTTCCTATGATAATAGCTTCTGAGATGCTTTCCTCATTATTTAAGAGAATATTAGCTCCTTAGCCCTACAACATGCCTTTTGGTAGACAGAATAAGTAGGAGCACTGACGTAAAACTGAATACCTTTTTTTAAAGGCTGAAGGAAGGCTTTGATTTCAAGCTTTCATCTGGGATGAAATGTTGGCTGAAATCCCAAGAGGGATCAAGACACTTCTCTCCCTCTTTCTGGCCTGGTCACAGACTGTCCCACTTCTCAAAACACTTTTTGTTTTTGTTAAACTGTATACAGTACTTTTCAGAAATAAATAGTAGTCTGTGTCCTAAAGAAGTCACCTAACTAACACCCTCAAATGTGGCCTTGATAACGGATACATCATGGCTAGAGGGCGAGGAAAGAGAAAGCTGGGATTATGGATGGATAGAGTTGTACCAGGAATAAACTTGTTCCTCTGTGATTTGCGTTGGCACTGTGCCTCTGACTTGTACACTGTAAATCTGTTTTATTTATCTTTTTCTTCTCTTCACTTTCCATTTTGTGAGCAGAAGGTCAATGTAAGAGCAAGAATAGAGAGCGTAGGAGTGGGAAGCTAGTGTACTTAGCTTTGGAGGAGGCATTTTGGGAAATGTTGCCAAACTGATGTGAATGATGCTATCTGTTCCACAGTACTGAGAGACTTACAGTGACTTCTTTGTTATTTATTAGGGATAAAGAGGGGTAAGTGTAAGTGAGAGAGGAAACCATTTGTTTAACCACTTCAGTCACTGACCAGGACTAAGCAGGGAACATTTTTCTGATGCTACTATTGCTGTGATCATTTAAAAATGTTCTCATTGCACATTAGAAAAGTAATCAAGACCCTACTGTTTTTTTTTCCCCCTCCTTGACAGTCACAAACCCCTAAACACACAGTGAGAAATGAAGTTTAATATATCCAAGAACTCTGTAATGAAGGCACTTACTTAAAAGGTAGGAGATCCAGATTCAAATTCTTTCTCTGCCTAATTCAAACCAGTGTTTACACTAGAGCCTTAAGGTTATATTGCATTATTACAAGGCTGTTTGCTAATCAGTTATGTCTTCCTGTATGTTGGACCAGAAATCCTGTCCCAGAGCTAGGAAATCTGCCTTAACAGGCATTACATCAAACCCAATATACTAGCACAAAAAGCTTGGGTTTTGGCAAATGGTTATTTATCAAACTAGTTTCATTGAAAAATATTCAAGCAGCTTCATTGCTGATGGAAATTTAATGAAGCATATTGCCTATTGTGCATGTTAATTCCCACTGAATCAGGCTTAGAGAAATGTCTTTAGGAAAGAAAAACAAACTAGGCAGTGTTGTCCAGGCATAAAAGACATAAAGCAAACATTTCCTTGGGTGTGAATATTTTACAAGGAAACCCTGAGAAGACACAAAAGAAAATCCTGAAAGATTCTGTTCCTTTGAGATGAGAGTAGTCACGTAACCTTTGTGTAGTGCATTGCCTCCTTGGAGTCCAAGCACTTCCTTGGTAATTTGTATTGCCTTCACTTACTTATTCTTCAGATGTTAGTAGTTAAATGTCAATAGACTATAAAGAGTACAGACAACATCCCGAAATAGTTCATCAACAGGTGGCCAGATATACAGACAATTTTAATAATTTATAGAGTCCCAGATCCTGTGGTTGGACTCCGGGTTAATACATCCTGCTTAGAACCATGGGCTGATTCAGACAGAAGTGCTGAGAGTCCACTGGCATCCTTTCTAACCCAAATTTAGTATTAAGGAGAACTTTCTTCTTCTGTACTTTACTGTACTGAATAAATCTGGGGGCATCTGAAGTAAAAGAAAAATAAAATACAATATTTCTCTGCTTTGGGATCCTATATGGTTTCAGTTCTAGTATCAGAGGTCATGATGATTTGGAGTATTTCAGCCTGTCATACCAGATACATCAATCATGGTGGCAAAGCTTAGAGAGAATGGAAGAGGAAAAGCAGAAACATGTGGTTTACCAAGTGTAGGGAGGAAAGTAATCCTTAGAGCTATTTTGTAAAGCATCATTTTTGGTTTTGACACCACGCAATGACTACTTGAGCCTGTAAACACAGTCTCCACCAGTTGTTGTTCCTCTGGGTAAGATATAAACAATGACTAGACCTTGATATGCCTGCGAATAACTGACAAAAAGAACCAAACTAAGGACAAAAATCTTTAAAATCTCCTTGCTTCTATGTTCAGTAAACAGATCTTGTAGGAATCGAATGATTTTAGGTAATTCTTGTTGGATATTTGAGGGGTTTCGTCAGCCTCAGCAGTGTAGAAATATATGTCCCCCTATCAGTTATGATCTCCCTGGTTTGCTGCTATTGAATTTGACTCCCTGTTGAGTTGGATACCTTGGGGGATGGGCAGGAGTGTGTTCTGACACAAGGATGATGCTCTAGGAGAGCCTTAGGTCTACTTTAGAGCTTACAAACCCTTCTTGGGATACTCTGACCTCTCCTTTCCCACTCATCTCCCACAGCTTTTAGCCCTTAAACAGAAAAGCTGACCCAGATTCCAGCTGGAAGTGCCTACTGTGAGGCAGGAGGGGTTTGGAGACAGTTGGTGCCCACAGAACAGAATGGCTGGTCAGCACTTAAATCTCAGAAGGAGCTTGGACTGCAGACCACAGGTTCAGAGAGCTGCTGGATGCTTTATGAGGTGCAGTACTGAACCATGTACTCCGTTTTATAAATAGACCTCAACAGTGTGTAACTTCTGCTCACTAAGGTAGCACTGCATTACAACTTTGCACTTCTTACTTTTTCACTTCAAAAGAATTTACTGGCTCACAGTGAATGTGTTACAGGCACTTTTAGTTGTGAATGCTTTCGTTGAGAATACTTCTCTGAGAGTTAGCCTGCAGGCTTTCAGTTCTACTGAAGATGACTTTGACTTTACTCATGTGGCATCATCAGCCCTCCTGAGAGGCCTGACAGATACTTAGTGCTATTGTTTTCCATGCAAACACTTGGAGAAGCTGCCCAAAAAGTAAGGCATTCATATATGCATTCAGAGATGTGATAGAAAGTGTGGTCTGTAATTGTGTTTATCTAAGTGCAGCCTCTTCCTGTGTCAGAACAGATTTTTGCAAACAAGAGGGCAGTGATTCAATTCCAGGGGAAGACTGACAAAATAAACCCCAGCATCTGCTGACCTGTTGCAGTGCTGAACAGTGTCCTACCCTGGGAAAATATTTCCTGCTTCATTTTCATAAATATTTATGTAATTCCTTCTGGGAAACATGTCTTCTTCAGAAAACTGAACATGCTGCTCCCTGACACAAATTCAACTGTTTGTTTACACATGAGAAATTATGGGCATGTACCCAGCCTCAGATTTTTACATTCTTATCTCAGGCATTTCTGTCTTTTAGAGTTCTCCTTCAGTCTCCTCCTAGTGATCACGTTATGTCTTGAGCCCCTTAGTTCTGGCTCTGGAATTGGAACATCCCTGATGCTCTGTGGAGAGTTGTTATTTTGGGCTGCAGAAATAGGGACCAAATGTAATGTTCTGCCTGGAATCACATTTCTGTCCTGCCCAGTTATGCCCTTCCCATTCTGGTTTGAGGCTCCTCTCTAAAAAAAAAAAAAAAAAATTAAAAAAAAAAATCATGTAAGCAATTAAACAGGATTGCATGGCTAATGAAAGCATTTATATTTAGAAACAGACCTAAAGACACTGCTGTGAACTGAAATAGAACTGGTGCACAGTCTTTTAAGTTTGCTTTCTAAGTTTATAGTAGGGATCAGTGGCAAAATTGTGCACAAGTTGCCCCAAGAGAACAGGTATACTCCCCACCAGGACAAACCAAAAAGGCTGATCCTTTAACATTTTTTCAAGAGAA